ATTTCCTACATACCTTCTTCAAAAAAATGTGTTGCTTTAAATAAAGAATATATTTAAGAAATAAGGTATCATTTTTTGAGTTTTACTGAGATGTAAAACGGGTTGGTCACGTGATCAAATCCCATAAAGCCCGAAGGGCTTTATGGAAGATTTGATCATGTGCCAACCCGTTTTACATCTCAATAAAACTCAAAAATGATAAACTTATTACTTATATTCATATTTGTGACTTATTCATACTTTAAATTTGCCTGATATGTTACTATTAACATGCGAAATGAGTTTTCACAACCCACACGGATTGTATGAAATCCACTATGTTATGCCTTTTTATGACGTCACACAGAGATTACGTCAAATTTATGCCAAAAACACATCTATGACCTTTACCCAGTGTCCTATATATATACATAGTAAAGAATTAAATTTTTGTACATTAATGTGTGTCATGACCTTGATACTGAAGGTCATTGTATAAAGGAAAACATCTGAAATGTAAATATATATATATATATCAAATGGATATTGAAAATTGTCGTCCATATCCGTCTTATTCCTATTCCAGAGCTGCGTATCATTTATACATTATAAAGTGGGACAAGTCTGTAATGATATTGAAATGTTTATCTTTATTAGATTTGACATTTATAATTGTAGTAAAGTTACCTCAATTAAATTTGGTTATCAACAAACTCTGAAACACTGAGCCTTTCCCTTTCCCTTTGATATATGTTTCCTGTATTTTGCACGTGTTTTAATTCTATATGCTGAGATTGCAATTTTAATGCTGTTATATAGAAATGCTTATTATCAATAAAGTTAGTTGAAAGTCAGAGTCTCATGTGGTATCATTACATGGTGTCAGAATGGACAAACTTAACCCGCCACCAATTATCTCATTAGAAGGGAACTTAAAAGAAATTTGAACAATTATTTCAAATTTATCTAACAGCGAGTGGAATGGACGACAAAGAAGACAAATTAAAAACAAATATTTTGCTTCATCAGATGCTGTGGAGATATATAACACTTTTGAATTTGAGGAAGCCAGGGACAAACTTACGTCTGTCCTGGATAAATTCAAGGATTACTGCAACCCAAGAAAAAATATAATATTTGAACTGCACATTTTCAACTCAAGAAGTCAAAGACCAATAGAACCTATTGACAGTTACGTTACGGATCTAAAAAAAACAAGGCCAGTCATGAGAATTTGGCGGGATCAAGGATTCGTTAAATCGAGATAGAACCATACAGGGCATTAAAAGTGACAGCGTAAAGAGTCGACTATTAAGAACTCCGGATCTCACCCTTGAGAAAACCGTGGAAATTTGTCGAATTAAAGAATATTAAGGAAAATTAAAGAATGTAAATATAAGCATTGAATTCAATTTCAATAACGCGCGGTATTCAATTTGTCGGCACGGCCAGGTGTGTTATAGGACCGAAGATATCCCAAAAGATGAATTCAATGCTTAAAAAGAACAATCATTTTTTTCTAAAATGTGTCGAAACACAATGCCACGGGAACCACATGAATTTAAAAATTCGAAGCGTTCAGTTAATACAGTGAATACCCATGAATGGGACAGTGAGTACAGCGTTGACACTGTCGCCATGGAAAACTCAGAAAGGGAATGGACGGCGCATATCAAAATAAAATGTATTTCACTTTAAAAATTAAACTGCGTCACGTACCTTTTTAATGCGGTAAGTAAAATTCGAAGTTATTTCCTAGTTAAATATTAATTTGAAATTGCACATGGTTGCAAATTATTTGCCCCCTCCCCCTAGCACAGTGATAAGAGTGTTTCCTAGAAGTTGATTTTGAATCCCAAGTGGAGACAGGTCTTTCGGATGAGACCGTATACACTGACGTTCAGTGTCACAGTAATAAATGCTGGTACAAAAACGATCCCTCTCTGCTGAATAACCTTGAAAGTCGAGTATAGATCTAAAATTTGCGTCCTCCATCGGTAAGTAATGATAAGTTAGTGAAAAATTCTCTAGATGGGCGCTAATTGAACAAGCCAGAATCAAATAATACATGTATTTCTGTCTAACTGTTTGTTGACAAAATGAAAAAAAATCTGCCTTTTAAATTTCCTTGATAAATTTTCCGCCTTTTGATTTTTCCTTAATTTTTCTCTTTACTCCGGTTCTATTGAAGAGAAATAAATTTGTTTGCTGACTGCTCCTATTTTGCATTGTTCTTATACATTTTTTTATCTTGAATACTGTTTGTTATATCTATATGTTTCATCCAAGTCTTAACATTCCAAAGAAAACCATGTCATAACTTCGGGAGTTTACTTCTTTTAAAAAATTACAGCCATTTTCCCCGACACCCATGACGCAATGAATAAACGGTAATTTGTGAATTCGTTCCTTCGTCGTTTCGCCGACATAATTTGATGGTGGCCGCTTTTAATACAAATTCTAGAATACAATCTCTTTAGTTTGATTAATGTCCTAAAATAAAATGTGGAAACGTAACATTTATTTCCCGTCTTTTGAGATTGATTTTTCTTTTTTTATTCATTTTAAAATAAGGTTTCTCTGCACATGCACTTGTTTCAAATATATTTTTTTAAACCCATTGTATTATGATAACAAGTGTTATTATTATTACCATTAAGGAAGTTAAAGAATTATTGATAGACAGAAGTATGATATCATGATATCCTGTCAAGTGAAGGGCTTCAAGTATATTAAAAAGTAGAAGAGTCATTTATTTTCAATCTATATCTAGCCAGAAAAATGGGAAGTTATAACTGTGTAAGTTTTATTTAATATTATTGTATTTTACAGTATAATTTACGCATCTTTCTATTACTATTGGTACTTACTAGAATGTTTCGCCAGCTTACTCAGTAAGGAATGAAAACCGGATATAGACTAGTTGGCATGTCTGTATTATCATATACCTCTCCCAACAAAGTTGGGTCATAATTCTATTTCTTCTTCTCAGTATTTATGAAGATGCAACAATGAACGAATCATTAAACCCCTGGTTAGAAAGTTGATCGAAATGGCTGTATCTCTGACTGTCTTTAACGATTTGGGGGACCCATCTCATCCTCTTAAGCCACTGATGAAATTTAATGAGACTTTCACAGACCAAAAAATAGTGTTATTATGCATTTCCTATTTCATTTTTTGATCGGACACATATGTTTGGTTTGTCGTAGCAAAAGGTGGAAACTATCATTATTCCTATAACACCGAAGTGTACTTTTCTTATCCGCAACTCATCTCATACTACATTATGATTTCTAGTGATACTATCACAGATTCATCATTACATGATGCCATTGTGCGTCTCTTGTTTCACATTTGATCTGACACTTATTTCAGGTCTCCCTGAGCAAAACATGGACTATGCCATTATTATCATATATGGGGTGGGGGTATCATTTAGCAAGGGCAGTGCTGACAGTGCGTCTTGTTAAAGACTGGAACTGTAGAAAATAATGCAATTTTCAGAAGAAAAAAATGGCGGTTATTTCCTTATTCTTATTTTAAATTTATTATATTTCAGTTGCTCATTGATTAGATATAAAGAAAAAATCACAAAATCATATTGTGATATAACTTTTACTTTTCAGACATTTTTGACTTTCTTTTGTGTCTTCGTGGCTGTTTTGGGAATAGAAAGTTGGAATCATTGCACAAGTAATCCTAATTGTCGCTGTATCCCAAAAGATAACAAAAACTATATAGCAGACTGTTCGAATCTAGCAATCACAGAGGTACCGCGAACGCGACCAGATGTCGACACTCTCAATATAGGACATAATAGAATAAGTCACATCATGCATCCGTTCAGTCCCACACTTGTGAATTTGGATATGTCTTATAACCAGCTTCAAAACTTTACTCATGACGTGTTCGCAAATTTAACACGCCTGAGAACTCTAAATTTAGAAGGAAATCAACTTCAATTGGACGACAGCGTACTCAGACCGGAAGTCTTCCGAGACATAAAAGCTTTACGTTCAATAAACATTAAGAAGACTATAGTCAAAGCACCTAGCACATTTCCATATAACATGTGGGTCCATCTGTCCTTATTAGAGACTCTCCGGATTGACGTCATATCATCGACACAATTTGGTCGACAGTTTCGCTCTTTAAGGTCATTGACTGTCCTGGATGTATCAGGCTGCTCCGGGTTTTGCTCGATAGAAGAAATTGGAGAGAAGTTCTTGGAAAATCTGCCTCACTTGGAGATGCTGGATTTGTCTTGTTGTCAGATAAAAGGATTCTCAGCAGGTGCCCTGAAAAAACAACGAAATATAACGGTCCTTGATATTTCATACAATGAAAGACTTACATTTGCAAGTTTTGCAAATATAACAAGCGATTTACAGTTTTCCAAAATAAAGGTTTTCAAAGCTAATAAAATCCACTGCACGTATGGATTAGGTACTGTGATACAAATTCGTGACGTCATGCACTTTCGGAACACATCTCTTGAAGAACTTTACCTAGAGAACAACAGACTAGCTCTTGTAGAAAGATATGCTATCCGCTATTTTCCTCACACTCTCAGAATAGTGTCGCTCGTCCGAAATAAAATGTCACCTGGTACTTACTTGATGGATGTCGTGTTCTTGACAGGGATGGAATCGCTTGACTTGTCCCTCCAGATGGGGTCCACGCCCATCAGCGACCTTATAGACGCTTTCACTTGTCAAAACCCTATACGACCTTCCAATAACACAATAGAGAGTCATTCCAACAAATTCAACACAGAACCATTTCAAATGAGATACAATACTAGTATCACCGAAACTCTGCCAAGAAATTTAAGAACGCTCATACTGAGAACATGTGGCATACGTCTGGAACTGTTTAGGATTCTTGTTAACCCGTCCAATCAGTTATCCCATGTTGACCTTTCACAGAACGTAATTACCAGCTTCACGGGGCCTATTATAGGATTTAATAAACTGAAATATTTGGACTTGTCAGATTGTCTTTGTTCCTCGCTTTCAACTGTTTTTTTTTTTATTTAACGACAGCACTGCAAGTCTTAAAGCTTAACAAGAACCTGTTAGGTTTCAGTTTGAAAGACGATTTGGACGGAGGAACCTTTAAGAATCAGGTCAATCTTCAAGAGCTAGACTTATCGGACAACAGAATACAACGGCTACCTGAAATGTTATTCAAAAATCTAGGAAAGCTTCAAAAGCTGAATTTAAGTTCTAATTTCCTGACAGAATGGAATGTGAAGATGAGTAACATGCGGAACTTGCTCATGATTGATATTTCAGTCAATAAGATAAGGCAACTCAGTCAGGACGCCACAGTCTCTATTGCAGAAATGTTGAAAAAGAATACACATTTTAAAATTTTTCTGGCAGACAATCCTTTTGCTTGTTCATGCGATTCTCGACATTTTTTACAGTGGTCTTCCAAAAATCGCAAGCATATCTCGGACTTTCATCAGATGAAATGTAAGTTAGACAATGGAACAAGCTTTGGTTTCCAAGACATAGAAACAGTTTTACGATTGCTTGAAATTCAGTGTAAAAATTATCAAGTGTTAATATTCATAATAACTTCTGTCATAGTGTTCTTTGTGATAATCATTGTTACCGGTTTAATTTACCGGTACCGATGGAAACTGCGGTACTTGTTTTATATGACTAAAAACAAATACCGATTAGTCAGACCTATATATCGGGATACGTTTACGTTTGATGCCTTTATATCATATGCCGATGAAGACAGTGACTTCGCGGTACACGAGTCGATTTCCCAGCTAGAGGAATCAAGAGGACTGCGCCTGTGCCTCAGCAAGAGGGACTTCCGGCCCGGTACAGAGATCGCAGCTAACATTACAGAAGCCATCACCAAGAGTCGTAAAACAATCATAATTCTGTCCAATCACTTCCTGAACTCTTACTGGTGTATGTATGAATTCAATATGGCAAGGATGGAGAGTATTTATACCCGGAATGGAAAGCACGTACTGTTCATGGTTATGTATCGACACGTGACTGCTAAGATGTTGCCTTTATCAATGCTGGCCTTGGTAGAAAGTCATTCCTATATCGAGTACCCCGACGATCCTCAGGGGAACATCGTTTTCTGGGACAAAGTAGCTGATACATGCAGAAATCCCTCAGATTAAAGTAGCTGACACCTGGAAAAGCATTCAGATTAATATAACTGATACCTGCAGAAAACCTTGATTAACCACTGAGATCTGTAATAGGTCCTTAAGACAACAAATCTGAAACCTGTGATAAGCCTTCTTTATAAAAAAAAAAAAAATAGATGAAATGAAAAAAAAAAAAGAAAAATCTGATTGATCTCAAGAAACTTACAAAAATACAGATTTGTGAGCTATTCATTATGCAGATGGTGAACAGCATACTCAAACTCAAAAGTCCAAAGGGACATTATATGAAATTTGGAGCTTATCAATCACGATTCTTCAAAATAATCATTTCCTGTCAACTAATCAAATCAGCGGAAAACCTATTTTAAAAGTCGTCAAGATAAGAATAGCCAAACCTGGGGAAATTTTAGATTTAAAAACACTGAATTCACGAAAAAGCTTTAAGCTCTAACCCTGCAAAAGGCTTGCAAAATAAAAATAACTGAAACCCGCCAAATGAAGACACAACGGAAACAGCCATCTTATTGATATTCTCCCTCAGTTGAAATGCAGATGTTTCTAAACATTAGAAGTTGTTGCTTAACGTAATTAAGTCATACAGGTATACCACTTTGTAAAAGTGACACCACAAAATTGAGGATCTGATTCTATGGGTTTTCCCTGCAGTTTCACATGTAGAGTGATCTGCCCTTAGATCTGAATTATAACAAATAGAAATTTACAGTATATTACCCAATTTGTAATTAATTCAAGTATTCTTAAGATTTTAAAATGCCAAGAAAAATTAATTGAACATGTTATTTAAATGTAATGTGTACATCATGGAAGTAAACAACAGTGATATCTATTCACTGATACAATGTTGTCTTAGTACATTTTTCCCTGAGGTAAATGACACGTACCACATTGAAAATTAAATACTATACAGTTGGAAAATAACTCGCGGTGTAAATATTCGCTATATTCACGGTATTTGAAAATGAATCCATGAATTAAAAAAAACAGTGAATAAGTTTTCAATAGGTATAGATAAGGGGGGAAACTTTTATTATATACCAATTCCGCGAATTCAAGAAACCGTGATTGTGTCAAAGAAGAGAAAAACGTGAAAATAACAACCAGTGAAATAAATCCTCTATACAGTACTGTGAAGTCACTAATTTTCGTGGAGTCACTTTCACATTCTATAAGTATAACTATGTATTGTATGTAGATCCGATGTAATAGTGTACCATAAGATGAAAATTATAATACTTGTACACGTGAAAGTGTTATATCAATAATTTTTTTTTAATTTAAAAACAATATCAGTGACAGTTAAACACTGAATGAAAGTGAGTAAAATGTGGTGCAAGGATGGTCCAGATGTCATTGATTTTTAGTAAAACCAGTTTTTTTTTTAAATTTGATAAAGATCACAAAAAAAATGGTAATTACACACAATACGTACCGCAAAGTACAGATTCATTGTTTTTAAGTATCGGTGATATTTTATTTTCTTTCATTTGTACATTTGTTGACAAGACTCATTTGTTGTATTAATTTGAAAATATCATACCATTCTATAAAGTAGTTTTTAAATTTAAATACATTTATTAAAGTGAACACTTAGAAATTTTGTTAAGTGTATAGAATAAAAATCTCTACTTTTCCGCTTAAGCATAGTTATTGACCCTAATTTTTCATTTCCTCGTACATTAATAATTTGAAACTTAACATGGTTGAAAAAAAATTTTGATCGCCCGCCTGGCACAGTGGTAAAAGTGTTTGCTAGGAGTTGAGTTTGAATCCCGCGTGGGACGTGGAAAATGGTGCTTCAAAAGAGACCGTATAAACCATGTTACTACTGCAAGTGCAGTATAATGAAAATAGACCCACTTCTGCTCAATGACCCCGAGGAGTGAGTAAAGGTCTAATGAGCCCTCAATCGATTAGTGATGGCGTTTCAATCAAGCTAGTCTTGTCCTGATTTTTAAAAAGTAGGCTAGAAATAACTTCTTACGGCAAATAATTATTATTTGGTCCAGCATACTTTTTCAACCTATTTCGAGTATGCTGAAAATATGTTGGCCTCCATGAAAATGGTGTTAAAGATGTCAAAATGGCGATTCAAAATGGCGGACATCCAATTTTTCTAATTTTCTGATAGTATTGTTCAAAATGGAGAGGTTATGTGTGAATATCTCTCACTGAGTGTAATAAAGCTTTTAAAATGATAATAGAATGCTTACATTTTTAGTTTAATTCAGAAAATTTAGTCGTTTCTACACTTAATTCGAATTTTCTCTGATTTATTTGTCGATTGTTTCTATACTCTGCTTTGGTAAGGATTTTACATTTGCAAATATCAATACACTGCAGATTTGTATTTTTACCTCTGCATCTCACTATTCTATCATTGAATAATGGTGCAGCTGTAACTTAAATTTAAATTTTCGGAAAAATCTCTGCAATGGTCCATCCATAAGGCCAGATAAAATTAATCTTTAGATTCTCATCCTAATTTGCTAAAAAAATTGGGGCGGATGGGCGGATTTTATTTTTTATACATATTAAGTTATAAGTATCAACACAACATAGACTCTTGGTACCCTCTTTTTATTATGTTAATGCCAATACGAATAGATTTTGTTCTTTCCATATTCTTTATTATATCTAAAGAATATTCTTGTTTTAAAAAATAAAATATTTATTGCCGGTTAAATATCAAATTACCAGGTACACACATACGGCACACGCCAAACAAAATGAGGTGGGGATATCAATAAACTGTGTATGCATGACTTCTCATCGGCCTTAATTTCCCCAAATACCTTTTAGTTTTACCAACAAAACCGTTTTCTGTAAAATATCATAGATTTCCACCTTCCTTAAAAATTTGATCGTTCTTGAGACTTGACATGTTCGACATTAAAATAAGTCATATTTGCAAAATCTATAAATTATTCTAATAAAATATTCTAGTGAGAAACCTACAGGCCTGAACGGTTTTAACATTTAAAATTTCCCTAGCATTCAACATTCTCTAAAGTCTGCCAACGATGTTTTATTTATTTATTTTTTTATCAAAGCATCACACACACTTCTTGCAATCCTACAACTTACGTCATGTTATTTTTTTTTATTAGTTCTCAAAAAACCTATGCTAGCTGTTATTGAACTCTGATTTAAAAACCATGTCACTGTTCAATTTTCTTGTTGCCATATTAAAAACCACGCATACCTTAAGGTATTCCAATCCTCAGGTTCTAAAAACCAGTCATTGACTAACTGAAAATGCTCACAAGAATGTCTCTGAATTCTCAAAATATTTTGTTTTTAACCACGATAATTCTTAAAAATTCATGTTTGACCTATAGGAGAAAACCATTTCCCAGAAAAAGTGACATTCAAAAATTAATCTTTATTTGCTGTTTTCTATCGTGTATATGTCTAAATTTTTGTATTTTATGCCTAAAAGTTTTATAATTTACAACTTTACAATAAACCTCCGAAGTTGGCCGAAGCAGCATTCCATTTTGTCCGTTTAATCCCAGATGCAATGAATAGAAACAAATATTAATTTTAATCACATTTATTGTAAAACAATGATTACATTTTGTGGCAAGTATTTGTCACAATCTATTTATACATAGATGTAAATACCCCGGTGGAATCCAGGGACTCACTACCTGCCGACTGACCTGGCGCGATAGCGCACCCACAGGTGACTGTGGTGGGAACAGACCTCTTGGAACCCACAAGAGTGAATGCCACATGGAATGAATTCAAGTTCTGACCCAGGTCCTCACTCTATACCTGTCTCCCCTGGAATCCAACAAAAACATGGGGATAACACGCCCAGGGGTAGCTGCCCAGATAGCATGACTATGTTGGGCCAACATTTGTAAAAGGTTGTATGGTTGGCGTTGGGGGAACAACGTTGGGCCAACGTTGGACCAATGTTACCATGTCAACCTTCTTGACTATGACAGAATTCCTATATTGGCCCAACGTTGGTCCAACGTAAGCAACTTCCATTCACTTTACATTCCAAGGAAGGAAGAATACTAATGTTGGCCCAACGTTGGTCCAATGTTTATAATACACCCTTAAAGAAAGTATCTTTTCAAATTGGTAGTAGTATGTTGGCCCAACGTTGGCCCGATGTTTGTAATACACCCTTAAAGAAATTGTCTTTTCAAATTGGCAGTAGTATGTTGGGCCAACGTTGGCCCAATGTTTGTATTACACCCTTACAGAGAGTGTCTTATCAAGTTGGTAGTAGTATGTTGGACAAACGTTGGCCCAATGTGTGTAATACACCCTTACAGAAAGTGTCTTATCAAGTTGGTAGAAGTATGTTGGCCCAACGTTGGCCCGATGTTTGTAATACACCCTTAAAGAAAGTGTCTTTTCAAATTGGTAGTTACGAGTATGTTAGGCCAACTTTGGCCCAATGTTTGTATTACACCCTTACAGAAAGTGTGTTATCAAGTTGGTAGTAGTATGTTGGACCAACGTTGGCCCAGTGTTTGTAATACACCCTTACAGAAAGTGTCTTATCAAGTTGGTAGTAGTATGTTGGCCCGATGTTAGCAAGAGTGTTATTTTGTTTAGGTGTTTCAAAGATGGGATATTTATATTGGGCCAACGTTGGTCCAATTATTATACTGCCAACTAAATGATGGTGTCAGTTTTATAATTAGCTGCTGAGCTTTACGTTGGGACAACTTTGGTTCCGAATATTAATTTAGATGCACATTTTGAAATAATTAAGAGGACATTCTATGTCCATGCTTTTCATTGGATTATTGCTTTTGTTTAGATATGATATATTCAACATTTTAACTTTGAACTTAAGTGATCACTGCACCAAAGAGTGTTTTATTCTATTTTTTTGAAATGTGTACATGTGTAATGGTTTGGGCCGTGGATATCGGCCTGGATAGCTCAGTTGGTAGAGCACCTGACTAGAGATACAGGGGTCCCGGGTTCGATTCCCGGTCCAGCCATGCATTTTCTCCTTT